TAGTTAAAATAACACCACCTATACAGTTACAAATCAAAATCACGACATAGTAAAATACCTATTCCTAAACTACCTTTCAAATAGCAAACCATCCTTAGTGTAGCTTTTCAATATTTTTTCTTCATATATATATATATATATATTAGACCCTATAATTATTATATTTTATTTAATGATATATTTTTAATATAAATATTTATTTAAAAAATTATATATTTAATTAATATACATATTTTAACATTCTACTAATTAAATATAATAAATAATATTTTATAAAAAAACACTATTTTATTTAAATATTATAAAATATTTTATTAGAAACACCAATTAAATAATATATTAATACTTATATATTACCTTTAATATAAAAATATTATTTTATTTAAATATTTATAAAATATTACATTAACTATATTTAATAAATATTATTTTAATATTTGAATTCAAATTTATTATACTTATATATATTATTTTATTTTGATGTATGACTTTAAAATATTTTGTAAAACTAATAATGAAAAATATACTTTTTAAATATATAATTAATGTAGCAAAATTTATAAAAATAAAATAAAATAATAATTAAATGTGTAAATTAAAGGATCAATTGTCAAAGTATAGTATATTTGATTTTCTTAATGAAAAAATATTTATTTTAACATAAGAAGAAAGGGTAATATAATATTTCAGTCGTTGAATGAATGTTAGTATAAAGGATATTTTAATAATAAAAATTTTGTAATGAAACTTTAATGAAAAATTTTAAAAAAATTGATAAAATACTATGTATTAAAATTTGTCGTAAAAGAGAACTATAATTTATAATTTCAAAAAGGAGAATCATATAATTAATATTCATTAATATATTTTTTAACAAAGAAGATAATTATTTTGACAATACTACGTCACTTTTATTTCAAGAAGCTGAAACATATACTCCTAGAGAGAGTTGATAAATTTTCAATAGCAGACTCGATCAACATTGTAATTGTCATAGTTTAGTGCACACTTTGTCATCGGACTAGATAAGTATTTTTTGTGTACTTTAATTAACAGACAACTATGTTACCAGCCATTAAACTTCATTTATGTAATTATTGTTCACTTGAAGATGAGTATCTATTTTTATGACTAGTTAATGGGATTTAAGATTTAGGGTTTAAAACTTATAATTTAGGATTTTGTCTCGCTCTAATATATTTTCCTAGTGTATTTAGATTGGGTGTATAGCCATATAGGTTGTTTAATAATGGTCTATCTAACATGATTTTATTTTTATTTTTTTAAAGAAAATCAACCTCAACCTCACTTAAGTTTAAAAGATATTTAATTTAAGTTTTAAATTATGAATATATTTTCCCAACATTAAGTTTATGATTAAAATTATTTTGACAAAAAGTTTATGATTAAAGTTATGAAATCAAAATAAGAGTACGTAATTACTAATGCTTAATTATGTTGCCAATCAAGACCGTTAACGCAAAGGCAGCTTAATAAGGCAAACAATAGTATGGCAAAGGCACACTTGGTAATATTCCAAATGAAATTTTTGGAAGAATAATGTGAGGCCGAAAATATGGCTACATTAACCAAAATAAGAAGCGATGAATTCATCAGCAGAAAAATCATCACTTCAATTCAATCCATCGATATGTATCGTTGACAGAATATCCATTGATTCAGTAACTTGTCTCTTTGATTTTCTCAATGAATGGGGAAGGTTTTCAAAGATAGCCAAGTGGAAGAGAAGAGGATGCAACCAAACGACTACAAAAGGAAAGCTATACCATGTATCTATCTATGATCTATCCCTAATCAAAATCAAAGCACGGTACGACTTCTCATAAAAGCTATGATATGAACTCAAAACTAGTTTTGTCAACTTTGACACGAACAAAGCTTGTGTCATCTAACAGTAGTGCTTGATCGAAAAAACGTACGTGGCTTCATTTTCAACGTACCACAATATTACGTGTGAAGCTTGCTTTAAGCTTGTCTGTGATGTAGCTTGAGACACCTACACAGAACTAAGTATTACCATTAATTCCTTAATTGGTCCGTGGGAATGAGTTGAATATTACTCAAATCTTTGTTTGAAACACAGTTCTTAGTTTCTCTCAATTCGAAATTAATTCAACGTTGCACGTTTCAACGTTTGTACGTACCGCGACAAAGTCGTCGACTTCATGACGTATATAGACACTCCCTCACGTAAAATTGCACATTTTTCTTTCAGAGGTACGAGTAGTAAAATGCTTAAAATTTTAGATCTGGTTAATTTTGTTATTTCACAAGAAACTCATTAAAGATCATGCTGAGAGAGATGATCTAAGATTTAAATTTCAGTCAATTACATCTAACATTTATTTTAAATTGCATAATATTACTCCCGATCCGATTTTAAAATTTTGATTTTTTACCTTTAGTTTTGTTTCAAAACTCTTATACTTTTATATCTTTATGTCTCAATATTTTAAATTTTTATTTATAATAAATAATTCAATAAAATAATATAACAATATAATTAATGTAAAATTTAACAATATAATTAATGTAAAATTTAAAATATTAATGTCAATAATATAATAAGTATAATATTTATAAAATTCTGTATGCTTAGATATCGATTTTTTTAATGTTTATCTAAGAGAATGTTTAGGGTAGGTTTTAAAAGTAAAAATGGAACAAGGGATAAAGAAATGAAAAAGATGTAAAGTATATTCTAGGAAAGAAGCGAACCTACATGCATGTAAAGTATATTCTAGGCAAAAACCGAACCACACACTCACATTTCATATTTTATAACTGAATCAACATAGTTAAAGTAAGGAGATAGGAAGTTTTTGCATATTTACAGAATGGATTAAGCTTACTCGATCACAGAAAGATACTAGACTTTATTTGCAAGAATAACTAATTAATGAGTTGCTTTTATATTATATTATATTATATTATATTTTATATATATATATATATATATATATATATATATATATATATAAAGTTGCTAACTTTGTAATTGGGCTAAGAATCTTTAGACTCATTCTTACTAATATTTTATTTACTTGTTATAATAATAAGAAGAAAAAAAGATACAATCAAGCTCAACGGCCAGCAAATAAAACAAAATGAAGGTTATTAGATGGTGGTATATCATATGGTTAGCAACTACTAGTACCTATATTAGTTATATAAAATAAATACACGTCTTCATCATATATATATCCTTAATTTGCATTATATAGCTACAAGTCGAGGTTTTATTTTTTTATTTTAAATGACTATTTCCAAGGCAGTACTAGGTAAAAAGATAGTACTTGGTAAAAAGACGAAATGAAAATTACAAGAAGGAATGTTTCCAAGTGTGTTATAAAATATTTATTTGTTAATTAATTAAAACAATTGAGTCAAGATAAGCAAAAGAAGTGGACTCTCCCCAACTATGTTATATATTATTCCATGTGCATTCACTAATTATATAGGACCGAGTCATTGAAATAAATAACCTGTCAAATTATATTATTAACTAAATATGTATCAATATGTTTGAATATAAGTTTAAAAACATTTTAAAAAATCTTTTTACTAAAATATATTTTTTTTATTTTAGTATAGAAACTTTTAAAAAAATTTAATTTGTATCTAAATAAGTTATATATTGGATTTTATATTTATTCAATTTAAATGGAACTCACAAGAGGATGGGCGCGCGCAGAGTCGTTTTGATTTTTTTGGATATATATTACCTTCTTTTTTTTTTCTTTTTTTTTTTTTTACAGCAGAATATGTATTATTACTCGTGAAAAGGATTTTATTGTATAGTGTCAATCACTAATCCATCCAAAATTTAATAATCATGTTATAACAATATATATATGATTATATTTGCATGTTATTTTAGAATAATTTTAATATTAAATATCGCATAAATTTAATTCATACGCAGGACATATATTACATATATGTTCTTAATTTTTTTAAAAAGAAATCGATCAATTTTAATATAACAGCATAAATGATTAAAATTAAAGTACAAATACATGCGCTCCAACTTAAAAACATTTGACAAAATCCGTGCTTGGTTTGATTTTCTTTAAAAACATTTGTCTTTTTTTTTTTTTTTCTTCTAGTTCCTTGAAATAATTTTTAAAATGATATATCATTAAGGCAAAAGAATCAAAATATAAAACAAGTTTGCGAGCAATATGTATTTTTCACTCACATATTATTCGCTTATGTTGAATAGTCTCACGCCAATTCCCACTAATATTTGTATGAACAAAATGCATGTAAAATCAATAAAAGAACACATGCATGCTTGGTAGAAAGACAGATAGAAGAAAGGTGGTTGAGTTTCGTGCACGGATCTATATTTATATCAATAATTATATTTTCACAACATTTCGTATAACATAAAAGAAATAAAAAATTGTGATAAAATAATTGATGTAATAAAGAAAAAAAATATGTAAATAACAATGTTATAACTAACAAATGTGTGTACACACAAAAAAACTAGAAAATAAGAATAACATAACTCTATTTTATTATACGTAAAAATAATAATATCACAACCTTCCAAATAAATCATATAAGCTTTTAATTTATTTATTTTTGCCGAGCAAAAAAAAACAAACAATAGACAACATTTTTAAAAAAGAAATTCATAAAATTAGCTCTTATAGTTTCTGGTAAAAAGAAATTTAATCAAATAGAAGACATTTTATAATTTTAGTAAAACATTAAATAGCTCTAATATATTATAAGAATCGGTTATGTTCATTATTATCTTTAAAACAATGCATAAGAAAAATTAAATTAAAAGTAAATATTGGAATCCTGAGCTGTGAGAAACAGGAAAAAAAGAAAGGCCGCTGCTGGCTGGCATTCAATTAATCAATTAAAAATTCAACAACCATGAATGAGTTTTGTGGTGGTCCACCACGGAATAATATAGAATATTATTATTTAAAAAAGAAATAAGTTGAATGATATTTATTTAAAAGGAGAGCAAGGTGTTGGGAATTTGAGGTGGTCTGCTTCGTTATGAGGTAAGAAACTTTCTCTCCTTACACCTTCCTCTGATTATCTTATCTCCATCATCCATCATCCACTTCAACTTGATCCAATTTCTCGTACGGTCTATAATTAAATATATGATATAGGTAAAGAGTGCAGAGAGATGGGAAGAGCCCCTTGTTGCTCTAAAGTTGGTTTGCATAGAGGTCCATGGACTCCCAGAGAAGATGCATTGCTCACTAAGTATATTCAAGCTCATGGAGAAGGCCAGTGGAGATCACTTCCAAAAAGAGCTGGTAACCTTTCCTTCTTCATTTCTTTAATTTGTCCCTTCTAAACCACTCCTATATATTATTCATAACATAACATCTCCATCTTTCGTTTTTCTCTCCAATCTTTTTGTTCTTATTATTCCTATCGTACGTCAAACATTCGTTATATAATAATATATCACTTTGTTTATATGCCATCTTTCTTTCTTCGTTACACCATTACATTTTATCTGATTGTCTTTATTATCTTAATATCACTCGCGCCTCATATTTATTATTTTTTTTCTCCTCTCTTATTATCTCATTCTCTTTTAAAAGTTTTTTTTTTTTTCATTTTGGTCCCACTATTTAAAGATAAAATACATTAAAATTGAGTAGGTGAATCAACTAATGAAAGATTTTTTCAACTTAATCAATTACTCAAATTGAAATTTTAAGTATACGATTGTATTAAATTTTTAATTTTTGTTTATCACTTATATTACTCTTATTCGATCAAAATTATCTTTAGCATACCTATAGTCTCTCTCTCTATATATAGACTATATCTCATACCATATGATTAATGATACTCCATGTATGTTAGATTGGAGTAGAAAGAACACATATAAAAAGGAAATAAGAATTTTTTTTTTTATTTTAAAAAAAGTGATGTTTATGGTAAATGATGTTAAGAAGAAAAAACAAATAGAGTAAAAATGATATGTATAATAAGCGAGTGTATGATAGTATAATAGTTGATATATATATATATATTCTAAAGTTTACCGACTATACACTACTTTCACGTATTAACTAATTACAATTTATTGTTAATACTAATTTAGTTATTTATTATAAAATAACTAGTCTATTATATATACATGATAATTTGTACTTAGATGATAATATTTAGTCTATTTTCTATAAGAAAAAAAAAAGCAAAAAAAAAATAATTATGCAAGTAATTATGAAGAATATTAAACCTAATTAAGTGTATAATTCCTTTATCGATCTCTTATTTTTATTTTTGTTATACGTGTATATGATGTATCAAAAATATTGGTGGGGACAAGGTGCCCAGGATAGCTGTCAAAATAACATTTTAATTAATTGAAGTTGTCCCCCACCTTCAATCATCTGAGTTAATTAAGTTTAGGGTTTTACTACTACCTTGTATGTAAACGTGGTAATTAAGTTTATAATAACTGCAGTGTCTTGAATTTATTTTCTGAGTTAGATAAAAATTAATCATGTTTGGTGCTTGTGGCAGGGCTTCTGAGGTGCGGAAAAAGTTGCAGACTGAGATGGATGAACTATCTGAGACCAGACATAAAGAGAGGAAACATAACCCCTGAAGAAGATGATCTTATAATTAGAATGCATTCACTTTTAGGAAATAGATGGTCCCTCATCGCTGGAAGATTACCAGGACGAACAGATAATGAGATCAAGAACTACTGGAATACCCATCTCAGTAAGAAGCTGAGAAATGAAGGAACCGATCCAAAGACAGGCGACAAGTTAACTGAAAAAAAGAAGGGTAAAAAGAAGAATAAGCAAAAGAATAAGGAGAATAACAACAACAACAACAAAGGGTCAGAGAAAACCTTAGTCTATCTACCAAAACCCATAAGGGTTAAGGCTCTATCATGTATACCCAGAAGTGATAGCACCTTCACCCTCGATTCTAATAGTGCATCAACGAGCCAAGAGAAAGTGCAAAGCCCAGAAGCAAAAGAGGTAAACATGGTTTGGGAGGTTGGTAACGATGGAGATAATGTGGGGAACATTGTGTTCTTTGGTCAAGACCATGACCTAGTCAACAGCGCCTCTTACGTTGAATCTCATTCTGATCATGTTCACACGGATCATGGTACGTTGGAGAAGCTCTACGAAGAATACTTGCAGCTCTTGAATGTTGAAGACAAACCAGATGAATTAGATTCTTTTGCTCAATCTTTATTGATGTAAATGTACAAATAATGGTAAAAATGGTTGGCATAAATAAAATATGAACTTTGCTTTAGCTATAGCTACCATGAGAACATTGAATTATATTTATCCGTTGAGTAGCATGACCTATTTAGATTTTTTTTTAAATTATAAAATAATTCTTTTGTTCATAATTGCAATTTAATTTATTTTCATATAAAAATTAAAGATCACAATAAATATATCATTTTTTATACAATTTTATTGAATAATTTACTCTCTTAATAAACTTATTACTTTTAATTGTAGTTATTGAATAATTTATAAAGAGACAGATTAGAAAAATTATAATAAAAAATAAGAACATTATTCATTTTAAGATATTTTTAAATATTAAAAATATAGTCATTATATGACAAAAAGAGTATCAATTATTTACATTATTAATTTAATTATAACATTAATTGGATTGATTATAAAATTATAATTAGATTTTTATTTTGAATGAAGCAAGATAATTATAAATTGAGTAGCTCTTATAACATCATTTGAGAGGTTTTTACTTTCATTTAATGTGACTATAATTTATTTAAAAAAAATTAAATTATTCATCAACTTTATAATAATGAATATTAAGATAAATACATGAGAATTTGTTTTTGTAATGTTTTAAAATTGAGAATCAAAAATTGAAATATAATTTCTACTGATCAAATATTATATAAAAATTCAGTTTCTATCTTCTTATAATCACTGTATACTTAAAAAAAATATTGATAAAATATAACCTAATACGGAAAGAGAGGATAATCGTTAAGGTTTATCACATTGTTTCTCGTTTTTCCCTTTCTTAACAACGGTTAAACAAATATGAACTCTTTTTCTATTATCATATACACAATCTTAGTCTCGATTATCTCTTTAAATTGTGATCATCGGAGCATATTAAAATCATTATCTATATGTTTATGTTTATGTTTATAGCATATGAGTTTAATTTTAATACATTATTAATGTAAAAAAATACATTATTAACTAATTATAAATAATCCTAAATACAACTTTTAAAATGATTATTAAAAAATTATTATATTACAATCCAAACTTAAATGAAGTATAAAAAAATTTAATGTACATTATCACTAATAAATTCTAATTAAATTAAGAATGCATTTTGATAAACAACTTAATAAATTTCTTATAATTGAATGTGTCTTCTAGCATGGTTGTAATATAATCGAAGAAGAACTATGGTTAAATTGTTTTCATATAAGTCATGTTTTCAGAAATTATCATATATAATTATATAATTATTGACTAAAATAAACTGAAAATAAATTATTCACATATTAAAAATCATTTCATATTTTTTCTCTTAATACTTAAGAAATATTTATGCTAAAACATAAATGCAACCAGGTATAAGAGCCTGAGTAAGTATATTATAATTTTCAATTGTGAACAAAGATGTCATTGTATGTTAGAAAGTGAGATGAACTTCCAGGAAAGTGAGATGTTTGAAGCTTAGCTTCTCACGTGCTTACCTTCTATTCCCCTCATCGTTATACAACAACACATGTGTGCATGTAAACAAAATGTTAAAAATATTAATGAAATTTGAAAACACATGACCAAAGTAGCTGGTTTAACTTTAGGACTGATAATCACCTTGAATTGACGCGTTTTTTAACTAAGTGGTTAAACTTCGAATTCTATCATAAAATCATTACCTTCATATAAATCATTATCCTTCATAAATTATAATTGTTTTATGTCAAATTCACGTCACAAACCACCGTACTTTTCAAATAATTATCTCATTCTAATATTTTTTATTTACTCCTTTAAAAAAAATAAAAGAGATAGAGTGTCTTTTATGCTAGTAATATTTAATAGAAAATACTCTTTTATCTAAAATATTTTCATTTTTAAAATAATTATTTTTTTATTTTATTATGAAATCAAAAATAGATTGTTCTTTTAAACTTTATCTTTATTCATTACTATTTTATTAAATAAAATGTCAAATAGCTAGCATATATAATTGTGTTCTTTTTAAAGTAATTCATATACGAATTTCGGCACATGTAATAAAAAAACTATAACTAGTTTATATATATATATATATGAAAGTATGTCCCAATTTTTAATAAAGATTATATGGTTAGTAACCCTGGCAGTATGTGTGTAAGTGAGTATGGGTAATTTGCGAACTCAAATTGACTCAAATCAACTTAATAAGTTTGGATTGGATTTTTTTGGTGTTCGGGTCAAATCTAACCCAACTCAATTAAAATTCGATATTATATGAGTCGAGTAACGAATTTTATGTTTTTAACCTATTACCAATCTGACTTAATCCAATCATATATAATAATAATAATAATAATAATAGTGTTTGAATGATCATTTGTCCAAGATAATACTCATTATCACTCTTACTTAATAATAAATTTTGTATTTTAGGTTAATAGTATTGTAATAGTATAATACATTTATTTTAAATTTTATTTTATATTAATTAATGATTTTTTAAGCCAATAATAATGTAACAAATTAATAAATTTATTTTAAATTTAATTATATTATTATTTACTTTATAGGTTGATAACATTAAATTTACAATTATGTATCAAATGATTTATATTTATTTTGAAATATTTAAATTTTTATAAAAAATAAATAAATATAATTATTTTATTTCGATTAATCCAATCCGTTTTTAATTGGATTGGGTTGAATTGAATTTTTAAAAAAAATTACACAAATCTGACCCAACTCAACCTAACTTTGGATCAAATAATAAATTTATTCAAACTTGACCCAATAACTCAACCCGCTCCCACCCCTACATGGGAGATTCCAGATATATATCAGTGATAAAATGCCATGGAGTCCGTTTTGTTCTGAGTGTTGAGTACCAGAGGGAAAAGAAAACTTCAATAACGAAAGCACACTCAAACACTCCTTGCCTACATCCACAAACACACTCAACAAATTATATTATTTCTCCACTTGCATTTTTTACAAGGATAAAATTGTAAACCCTCTCACACAATTTTTGCACAAAAAAAATTGCAAACTCTCTCTTGACACACAAATACCCAAGTCCCCAATACACCCAAAGACTAGTGTTGTTGCGGTGAGTAGACCCAAACTATCACCCCTTATTTATAGTAGTAGTCTACTACTTCCCTTCTTCAAAACTACCCGATGTGGGACATTGGAGGATACCCACACACTTTGGGCACAACATATCCTCCCTTCATCCAAAGTCTAACATTAATCCATCATCATTCACAAGTTTTTGGAAACCCCTTCCTCACAAGTTTTCTGGCAAAACTTGGAAACCATCTTCATGAGGGCGGGACATCTTTTCCTCCCTGGTACATAATAAGTTTATTTTAATAAAAGATATTTTTATAAAAAAAATTATATTTTCATAAATATTATAGAAGACTTTTAAATGACCTACACAAGAATAGTGACACTAATGCTTGGCGGTTATTTATGAGTTCAATAATTATCAATGAGACTTCTAAATGACCTACACTATATAAAAAAAAAAAATTATTAGTTCCAGAAATGTATTAGCTGCCTCAATTCAATTTTTTCTTTTATTTTTTTTTCGTGAATATAATATTAATAATAAATATATAATATTTTTTAACGTTATAATATTTTTATCTAATAATTTAACTATTTTTTCCAACTCTACTTTCTAATATTATAAAATTATTGTGAATTTGATTTCAAGTGGATTCTTGCATGGGATGTATATTATATAAATTAAAATTTTTAATGAATAGATCAAATTTTTAAATTTCTATAAAAATTTAATATTATCTAATACTTTGTTATATTAATTATAATTGATATATATTAATAAAAAAATATTATACATTAATTTAAATAAATATAATAAAGTATGACATAATTTTTTAATTTTATAGACTAAATTTATTCATCAATTTTTTTAAAAATTTAATGACTAAATTATTGAAATTTAATTTAAACTATGAGTAATTGGATGAAGAAACACATTTTTTATATTTTGAGAAAATTGTCTAGAATGAATTCCTATAGAGAGGTTAAAAAGATTCTTTTTAATATAAGGAATGATTAACTTTATTAAAATGTGTTTAGTTATATATATATTATCATCATTTGTGCACGTCTAACATGATCGAGATGCACCCATATTTTATTAAGGTTTTTGAAGTAATTTGGCTTTAAAGTAAGATACTTTAAAATGATTTACATCCATTTGTCAACTCTTTTCATTTGAACAATTAACATATTATTTGGGAGATGTCTTTATAGTACAAATAAATAAATAAAAAGTCACAAGACCAATAATTTTAATTCAAATACAACTACAAGTAGTTAAGATATCTACAAAAGCATTATAACTTAAATATTATGAACAACATTTTTTTTTATGTCACATCATGTGCATAATAATAGTATGGCTTTTTGACCTCAGCTCAATTCTTTTCTGATGTGGAAGATCAGACAATGCTGCAAGCACAGAGCATACTAAGAATTAAGAATAGAAACAAAAATAGAGAAACAAACTCAGAAATTAACGTGGTTCGACACTCCTTGCCTACATCTACAAACACACTCAACAAATTATATTATTTCTCCACTTGGCACAGAAAAATTGCAAACCCTCTCCAATACACCCAAAGACTAGTGTTGTTGTGATGAGTATATCCAAACTATCACCCCTTATTTATAGTAGTAGTCTATCACTTCCCTTCTTCAAAATTATCCGATATGGGACTTTAGAGGATACTCACACACTTTGGACACAACACTGATTTCTAACACAAAAAGAAATCATCTTAAAGAGAGCATAAATATAACAATTTATAATTAGTTTTCCAGAGTTTTCTTTCTAATCATCTGTTTTTTCCAACTTAATGAGACAACACGTTTGGGTTAAAGTCGCCGAAATTTATTGTGCAAGAGGAAGTGATAGTTTAATGGATGCCGTGTCAAATAATCTTCTATCTCTAGCGAAGTTGAGTGCAACAACTTCAGGTATATATTACTAATTCCTGTAAGAGCACTTCACACCTGTATTTATATGAA